TGCTTCCCTAATAAACCCCATAATCAGTGAGCTCTGTGTGGGCACTGCAGCGATTTATCAAACCCAGCAAAGAGGTGATGCGTGTCATGGGAAGAACGGTTGGTGATAAGGTTAGTAAGAGGGTTGGAGGATGGTGGGATGTCTGGCCTCATAAGAACAGGCCTTGGGCAGGTGGTAGTTACCTTGTCTTCCCCTTGTGTAGTAAGAGGAGGGCAGAAGACGCCACCGCCCTGCCCCTTTCGCAGTGAACGTACATGATTTTACACATGCTGTCAAGAACAGCTATGAGGGCCTCTTTGAACTTATTTGTGAGCGTGTTACGAGATTGTCCAATTTGATATATATTTGAATATAGTGTTCTTTAAAGACAGTGAAAAGCACCCCTGTATCTGCAGTTTGCAGTCCCTGAGTGGTGCAAATGGTTAACACACTCGCCTGTTGACTGAAAGGCTGGAGGTTCTCGTCCGTCCAGGGGTGCCTCAGGAGAAAGCCTGCTGACTGACTTTGGAAAACTCAGCCACCAGCAGCCTGATGGGGCACAGCTTTCCTGTGACACATGAGGGGTTGCCATGCATCCAAGGCGACTGACGACCACTGGTTCTGGCTCAGGAGTGCCCTGTGTGTCGCCCATTGACACGGGGAAGCCAGAGACGGGCTAACTCAAAGCAGGGTGTCTGTGTGATCACTATGGGGAGCATGTTCCATATTCTCTGCTTGTTCCCCAGGGGGATGGGGGGTCCAAGAAATAGGGGGGCCGGCAGTCACACGGAGTCCTGCCTGTTCCGCCTGAGGGTGGCTTCCCGGGGTTGTGGTCCCACTTGTCTTGTCCTGTATGGTCTGGTCTTCGTCCATTTGTGTATCCAGTCTCTCAAAATGAAAGGATATTTGGAGGCTCAGGGAAGTGAGTTATTTCCCATTATGACTGTCTGTTTTGATTATATCTTTTTTTTGACTACATCTTTTATGAATGAAATGTGACATATTCTATTGGCCAGGTTCAAATGCAGATGGGCACAGACTCACTAAGGCTGATTCCAGAGCCCACAACGCTGGGAAGGGGTCAGGGGTCTGGGACATTTGGGACGTCTGTGTGTCCCACTGCCATTTCAGACAGCATATTGGAGGGGTCACTGCACACCAAAGCTGTGTCTGTTATTTTCTGATACTGACCTCGACCCCGTTGCGCACCAGCATCTAACCGTGTTAGGAAGAGTCATGGAGCAAAAGGCTGTGAGCAGGGGCTGGAGGCTTGGGTGCTTTTGGCTGGGCAGTGTTGGGCTGGAGTCAGGCCAGGTCTTTGCAATAGTTCCTAGAAAGTATGATATATCACAAATTGTTTTCCCTACTCCAAATATATTATGTCAGAGGCTGGGAGATGGACTGAGTTTGGATCCTGGCTCTACCACGTCCCTGCTGTGTGACCCCAGGCAGTCACCTAAGCTCTCTGTACCACAGTTCCCTCTCTGTCAGTGGAGAACCTGGTGCTCAGCCACACAGCCCATCCATTTCAGCCGGAAGCAGCTCGGTCGGCCGGGTTCTTCATGCCAAACACTAGTCTCTGGGGTTGTCTTGAGCTGGGTCTGACTCCGGCACCACGGAACAGGACGCTGCCGGGTCCTGCGCCCTCCTCACAATGGCTGACATATTCGAGTCCCTTGTGGTAGCCACGGTGTCCATCCACCTTGTTGAGGGTCTTCCTCTTTTTGCTGACCCCCCGCTCTGCCCCTACTCAACAAAACAAAGAATCCTAGTTCCTGTGCAGTCTCCTCGGACTCACAGAGCCGTGCATTTGGGGGCCGGACCTTTGTTTTCATTGGATGAACTTCCAACGCGAAATCTCCAGGTTCCGGGGTAGGTTCTGTATAAGCCCAGTGCGGTCCCGCGTCAGCCTCATGACAGCTCGGTTGTTTCCGCCGTTTACAGGTGGAGAAACAGGCCCAGAGGTGCTGAGCCACCTGTCCAGGGGCCGCCCAGCTCGGAAGCGGCAGAGCAGGCCTCAGGCCGGCGCCTTCCTCACGGCCTTGCCCCGTCTCAAGTGCAATGCTATCTTTATGCTCATTCTCCACCCTCCAAAACAAAAACCGACCTGCTCGATGAACGTTGGCAGATGACCCCGAAAACTTATGTTGTCCAGAATCAAACTCCGATTTCCGCTGAGGAGGCCGCACAACACAGACGGCCTGCAGTCTGGGGTCGTGGAGCCCCAGTCCCGTCGGAGCTTCGGGCTCTCCCCGAGCGGCTAGCTCCTGCATGACCCGGAGCTGCACAGCGTGTTTGGCGCGTTCCAAGTGCAGCCCACTGGGCTTAGGGAGCGCGTTTCGGTCATGCGTAGACCGTGCCTGCGCCAAGTCAGCCTCGCACTCCCTCCCAGACGCACGGGCCTGCGAACTGCAGAGGCGGCGTGCGAGGGGCAGAGTGTGAATTTCAGACGCTGGAGGTTTCCACACGCGCCAGGCGATTCCCACCTGTGGGTGTAGCTCCCGCTCGGGTCACGGCTCAGCAAAGCTCAGGGCGCCCAGCTCCAGATCCGGCACATAAACCACTGAGCGCTTTCTCAGTGCCAAGCACTGTGCTA